TTTCTTAGTTTTTACAAGAACATTTCTGAATTTTCTTCTTCCAAATTTCTGTCTGTCATACTCAGTGATTTCCATGTTTTTTCTGCAAAATTTCTCAAGATTTCAGATTTTTATCTTGAACATTTTTTACTGTTTGAACTCAAACGTTTCCAAAATTGTCTGGAAAATTTCTTACATTAATCTCAAAATTTCAGAGTTTTTTTCCTGAAAGTTTTTGACTTTTTAAACTCGGGAACATCCTTTTTTTTTTTTTCTCAGAAATTTTTGAGGGGAATTTCTAAATTTCTGAGCATTTTCTTACAACTTATCTTAGATTGGAAATGAGAGATTTTTTTAGATTTTGTTTTTTTGAACTCAGATATGCTTGTTTTTTATAGAAAATTTCAGAGATTAAGCTCAAAATTTCTGAATTTTTTGGTCAAATTTATCCTCTTTTTTTCTATCTACCCCACTGTTGGAAACAGACTGCATAAAGTTTGAAGGAAAAATAAAACATAGAAACTGATTTAATGTAATCCACATTTTTCTGTGTACTTCTCAGAGGAGTCAGTCTAATAATTCAGAATACAAAGAACTCCCTTGTCTGCTCAGCATTAAACCCCCAGTAATTCAGCCTGAAACTGGCTTTAAAACATTAATCCTGGCAGTAAACAGCATCCAGAGTTCATCCACATTCAAACTAAGAGATAAAATGTTAAACGGCTCCCCTGAGCATCACTTGGATTCAAACCTGATCTTATACCAAAGATGATGGAGTTTGTTTTGACTTTGTCAAGTACCACACCCTGAAGTCAGGAAATCTGTGACGGCTTTTAAATTGGTCAATTAAAGGGACGGCACAGGTCCAGTGAGTCAGAGAAAACAGATGATGGATGGGTGAAAGTCTCTGAACTCGGCATCAAAACGCCGTCAAACATTTCACAATCCAGAAGATATGCGAGGAAACAGGCATGACAAATAAGCCGGACTAATTTCATAAAGTAAAGTAATCAAGACGAGAGGTTAAAAGCATGTTTCCACTTTCTCAAGGGTGATTTCAGATTAAACAGGCTTTATTTTAACAACTGCCTCATCTGGACCAAAAGCAGGAATCGACCACTTTGTTTACATGACTGTCAGGTTTTGGAGCAGGATCCATTTTCACGTCTAAATCTGTGATAATGGTTTCCTCATACGAGGCAGGGAGGAGAGATCAATACGGGAGGTTCTGATGGTGGTGTCAGGTCCAAACAAAAGGTTTTATGATGGAAATTCTGCTATTTCAGATCCATTCATCTCCTGGTGTAGTCAAAGTAAGTCAAAACGGAAGCTGGACACTCTCACCAAGATGCTGCAGTGAATGGAAATAAGCCCAACAGTCATCAGCATATAGAGTGATGCTGCTATTTGAAGATGTCTGTGGGTGAACAAATCCCAATTTTTTACTGAAATTAATTTGTTTTAGGCAGAAATATGGTTACCAAAAGTCTAGTAGATTTATTGACAACATCTATGAAAAACTTAAACCTTCATTGGACGTATTAACGTCTAAAAATGTTCACAGCAACTTAAATATGAAAAGCAGAGATCTGAGAATGGAGCCCTGTGGTTCCCCGTCATGAGAAATTAATCATGGTAAATTTTACTATTAGTGAATTTCTTCATAGAGCATATCTACCATTTTTTAACTTAAATATCTAGACGTAATGCCACTTGACTCGCTATTGGCTGGCATATGAAAAGCAGCCAATCCAGAAGCTCGATTGGCTGAAACCAAAAAAAGTGAAGATAAAGAAAACCATAAATGTTAGTTTCTGTGTTAGCGCCAAGATGGTTTCGATTGTATATTAAAGGATATTAAGGTGTATGTGGTGTTTATAAATGTTTTCAAAGGTATTCACGTATTCTAGCTATTCGCTAACCTGTTTTAATACCTATTTTAGTACAGTAAAGCCATTAGCTTCAATTTACACCGGATGTTTTTTAATTACTTGTTCACATGTGATTTTAATTATGCTTCTTATTTAATGGAATATCAACCAAGTTTTCTGCACATTTGTACTTTAATTTAAGCAACAAATGTGGCAGAAGAAACCAAAAATTATAGAGTAATGTTTAAAATTTAAAGCTCAAATAAACCTATATAAAAATATTACTTAAAGTTTATATGAGTTTCATATATCCATGACGTTTGATTTGTTTTTTATGAAGATATTGTGTGAATTGAAAGTACAGGAAATATTTATTTAGAGAAGAGACTTGAATAAATTCCCCGTTTCCTGCTGTGGGAGGATGTTTCCTCTCTTTCTTCTTCTCCTTCGTTGCTCTTCATGTTTCTCTCCAATTGTTGTTAAAGGTGATTTTTTTTTACCACCAAATATGCGCATTAGCCATATTTGGAGTTGCTTCTTGCAGTTTCATCAAAGCAGAGTGGCTTCAAATAGCTGAAACCACAAGTTTGTTCGAAGTGACAGAATAACCGAAGAACAAAAGTTCCTATTGGGTTTCCTGCTGTGACCTGCTGGAAAGTTTATTTGACTTTTCCAGAAGTTCCCACGTCTAACTCGGCACAAACACGGTAAAAAGAGACCCTCTGTCTTATCGTCTATATTCTCCGACTTCCCGGGAGAGTTTCTGAAAACTGTTGATTTTCTCTGTCTTGATTTACGCCTCTCATCGTTCAGAGATTCCACGAGCAACGGGAAACCTGGAGAGAGAGCGCAGCCAAAGCGGAGGAGAGGCGGCGAAGAAGACAAAGCCAAGTCTGTGCAGCAAGCGGCGATAGCATCGCTGCCGAAGTCAAAGAGCCCGTCTGTCTCCAACGACTCTCAGAAGCTCAGCCAGCAAAGAGGCGCGATGCACACACAGCGAAGAAACTCGCAAAGAAAGACAAAACAGAGACACGACACACGGGGCGTCCACACTGACGACCTCGTTAATTATCAGTTCATTTGGAAACTTTTTGGCTCCACTGCTGATAAATCATCTTTTCTGACTAGTTTATGAGCTAGAAGTTGGAAATTAACCCTGAAAGCACCAACAGAAATAAAGATATTTTTTTGACTTGATGCTGTTTGTGGATAAACTAAGGCTGCATTCACACCAGCCATGTTTAATCCAGTTCACTCTTTTAAAAAAAGTCTGGTTCGTTTGTAGAAGTGGGAATGCGTAATCAAACTCTGATGCCGCCTAAAAATCCTCGGTCTTGGTTGAAGTGAACTCTGATGAGGTTCGAATGCATATGTGAATGCTAAGGAGACTGGAGACTGCTCCAAAAGCAGGAAGTGGACCTCAACGCAGGGCATTATGGGTAAATACAACCAAACCCAACATGCTAACTTAATGCTAGCTGGAGAAAGATGACAGAGAAATTTTACAACCACTAAAATCTGATGCTACCTCATTTTTGTTTACATTTCATAAAGAAGGAAGTTGCAATCAGTTTCTTTTTCAGAGGTTTGTGTGTCGTTTCCTTCAGTGGTTCCTGGTGCAGCGCCCCTGCAGGCGAGGAGGGGAACAGCTTTCTGAATAAGAGGTTCGTTTTCGTGCAGTGTGAAAGAACCACAGCAGCTGAAAATGTAACAAATGTTGCAATTTTTGTCCCCATTCAAACCGAGTCTGCCAGACTAAAGTTTTCTTAAACAGTTTTTGAAATTGTTTATACAGTGGGCTATATAGGCAGTTGCCCAGGGCAGCATCAGAAAGGGGCGGGACCCCCAAGAGCTAGGAAATAAAATCTATCTTCTCTGTCAGTCGTCTACTTAACAGCTTGCTGCAACTTGTAAGAACATGTAGTGGCTTAAGTTTCCCTTAGCTACAACAAATCAGATAATTTCTTGCTTTTTTACGCATAGTGATTAATTTGATTAAAATTTTTAATCTATTCACAGCACTAGTTTTAATAAGAACTTTTGGTGAGTCTTTATATCTGTCTTTGCTGTTGCACCTGGATTTGCTCTTTGATGGACAAATTTTCACAGATGGATCCAGATTCGAGTAAAATTTAAAACTGCCAGTTTCTTTAAGCATTAAACTTTTATATATTTTACATTCAGTATAAACATTTTATTTACCCCAATTTTTTAATAATCTCATTATCACATAAGATGATGATTTTTGTGTTTTTCATGCTTGAGGTTAGATTTTGATTACTTTGAATAAAATCTAAAACTGTTTTCCATTTTCTTTAAACCCTGTAAGCTTCTATATATTTTTGCATTTAGTATAAAAATTTAATTTACCTTAATTTTTAATTATATCATCATAAAAGATTATGTATATGTGTGTGTTTTTTTCACACTTGGGGTTAGATTTAAATTATTTTAATAAAATTTGAAAAGATTGGCCACTTTCTTTAAATACTAAACTTTTGTATATTTTGCATTTGGCATCAAAATTAAATGTATCGAAGTTTTAAATAATTTCCTTCTTTTGTGAGTTTTTTATGCTTTCATGATTTTGTTTTAGTAAAATTTTAAAATATTTTCCATTTAAACTCTGTAATTTTCTGCATATTTTGCATTCAGTCTAAAAATGTAATGTATTTAAATGTTTAGTCATCTCCTCATCACTTCCATATTCTCATATTCTTCTGTGAAGCTTTTATGCTTCCAGCAGAAATCGGATAATTTAGTGACAACTTAACTGTTACAGCTAACTGCATTGTTTTGTGAGTCACTTAATTACAAACCAGTGGAGATGCATTTAAAAATCTCATCCTTATTGCTGCGCAGACAAAGAAATCTGTTTATCGCCATCAAAATCTGGGCTCTCCACTAAACCAATTAAATCTTAAATCTCTTATTTGCTCCAACAATGTGAATCTGTTCACACTGCGTTCATAAACTAGACCGTTAGCTTCAGTCCTTTGTGTCAGACGGCGACCATTTCCCATCTGGAGTCGCATTTCAATAAAATAAAATATAAAGCATTCAGCTCAGGATGGGGATTTCCATCCACCATTATGGGACAGATTTAATTATTTGTGGCCATCAGCCAAACCAAGCTGGAGCCTGAGAAATGTGGGTAAAATACCCAGAAATGATACTCAAACACTTTAACATATTTTTACTCAAGTAAAAGTAAAAAGTAGGCATTCAAGAAATGATTTAGGTAAAAGTGACAAAAAATAAGTATTTGGTAAAAAGTCAACTCAAATACTGAATAACTGATCAAATTATTAATCATTCACTATTTAAAACTGACATGATCAGATGGACCAAAATATAAAGTTAAGTGGAAATTTTGGTATTTTAAGGACCAAACTGACACTAATTCATAAAAGTAAAAAAAAAATGAAAAATGTTTCCAAATCGGTTCATTTCAATAAAAAACTGAAACTGCAGGTGTGTGTCTGTCTGGTGGATTTTTATTTAGAACATGTTTGTTTTTCATTCAGTAGGAAATCCAAAGCTTTTACTCAAATAAGAGCAGAAATAAAAATAAAATTACTCAAGAGTACAGTGTAGTAAAAATCATCCTAAAAGTAATTATTTTTATAAAAGTTACTCATGTAAATGTAACTGAGTAACTGTCCTCAAAACCTTCATGAAACTTTGAATATTTGTACTTTTTGTATCCGGAGCTGGAAGAGGAATCTGCCTGACTACACCTGGACACATTTTTTCCCAGTCAGACTCTTCCTGATCCGTTTTGCTCTTCCTGATCCGTTTTGCTCTTCCTGATCCGTTTTGCTCTTCCTGATCCGTTTTGCTCTTCCTGATCCGTTTTGCTCTTCCTGATCCGTTTTGCTCTTCCTGATCCGTTTTGCTCTTCCTGATCCGTTTTGCTCTTCCTGATCCGTTTTGCTCTTCCTGATCAGCTTTGGTCGCAGCGTTCGCCACTTGATGCACGGTCCGTGTTCCTGTCTGGCTTTGCGCTGCTCACACGGACAACGAGCAGAAGAACAATCCCTGTAATTAACTCTAAGCTGAGAGAAACTGCAGCTCCCAGCATCGCTCTGTTTTCTAAAGCTTTATCAGATGACTTCTGGGAGCGCAGCCCTTCTGTTCAACAAAATTATTAGAATTATTGTTTTTTTTTTGTTTGTTTTTTTTTTAGGAAATATTTATCTTTCATTCCAAAAACTTGAACATTTTCTGTTTCTTTAGACCCAAATATGGTGGGAAAAACACAAATTGGTGTTAAAGACGTTCTGCTCTGAATATGCAAAAGTATTTATGACTAAAAGAAACAGATTTATGCTTTTACGAGGAAAAGTCTAAAAAGTGTGGTGTGCATTTGAATTTGCATGTCTTAAATTGGCAGTATTATGTTTTCCAGTCAAATAGAATCATTTTATGGCATAATAATGTTACATTACTTTAAATCTGTAACAAACTTACAGAAAACTGCAAAAAAGTTGAAACACTGACTTAGAGTTGCTTTTGAATCATTGTAAATGTAACATTGACCAACATATTTGATGTGTTTGATTTTAATGATGACACTTGACAAAATTAAATATGTGTTTCTGGTTTCTCAGTTGGTGACTGCATGAAGTTCTTATGACTTTTTATTTTTGTGTTTTTATGATATAAAACACTTTGAACTGCCTTGTTGCTGAAATGTGCTGTACAAATAAACTTGATCGATTGATTGATTTAGTTGTTATATAACTTAAAAGAAACTTGATGTCTTCAATTTGGGCCTCTGTCTCTTTAAGAAGCTGCTGCTCCTTCTGAAACTCCGCCTTCAGGAAGTCGTCACAACATGGCTACTCTTTAACCCTTTAACAACATTTTTGCCAGAGTTTCACTGAGAAGCTGCTGTAATGAGCTCATCAGTTCCAACAGGTGTTTGCTAATTACTGCTGGCTAGTCTGAAGGAGCTGAGTGGAGGAGGAGCTGCTTCTGGAAGGCGGAGCTAGGTCCACCCAGGCGTTTTGCACCACTGAGTGGTTGCCATGGAGACTAAAGGATTTCTCAAACATGCATGAAAGAATCAAAGCAACACTCCAGGTTCGTGAGACCAAGATTTAGCCAAAACACAAAATCTAGCCAAGTATTTTTATCTAGTTTCAAATGGAAATACCTTGAAATAAGACAAAACTTTAGAGCATTTTTTAAGCAAGATACAAGAGCTTGTTTTAAATCAATAATTCCTTAATCTTGATGAAAAAGGGGCAGGTTATTTCACTTTTTCTGGTTTTAATGGAGGAAAATGTGAAAACGTTTGCAGAGTATCTGCAATCGTAGCCACAGTGAGACTCGGCAAATCATAACGAGCCGTCCAGCCTCCAGGTTGTGACTCATTATCATTTTCCATGGATGAGGATTCTCTGCTGCTGGTGATGTTTTTCTGTTTCGCTTTGAGGATCATGTGCGGCAGGTTGAATGTTTTATGCGAGGTTAACTTCCCCGCCCACTCCGTGTTTAAGCCTCTTCCCTGAGTTTTTCTGAGCCCCTCTCAGCCGCTGCGTGGGCGGGAAGAGTTTAATGGCACAAGGTTCTGGCGCAGCGCGTCGTCAGATGCTGCAGGGATTCAGAACCGAGACGCTTTTTAAAACAATGCATCAGCTAAAGCCACTGGTTTTACTGGTTTCATGCTTCTCTGAATATTACAAACTGTGTTTTCAAATTCAGCTAAGAGTCACTGATATGATGAGTTCCTTTAAAACATGTGGTGGAGATGATAAACTGCAGGATTTGGAAGTTTTGTCCATAAAACTCAGATCAAACACAATATTTCTCTCTATATATTATTTATTATGGGCATTGTAGATAAAATATAATAAAGGAGTAAATTTCCACCACATAAAAACACAAAACTTTTCAGATTAATCCTTTAACATAATTTTAATAATTTTAAAATATTGCGTAGCTGGGCTCTTATTTTGAAGAGCACTTGTTAAACTTTTCTTATTTTAATAAAAAAGTTTTTTATTATGAGAAAATCTCTGATTCTAGTAAGTTTCACATCTAATAACGAGGTTTTCTTGTTTTAATGAGAAAGTTTCTGATTTTAAAAAGATAAAACTTCTCGTTATAACGAGAAATTCACTTTAACGAGTTATAATGTTCTTGTTTCAACAGGAAAGTTTTGTTATAAGATGACAAAACTTGTCTCA